GGCTGCGGGCTCGCCCAAGCTCCGGCCCGCACTGTCCCGCCAGCGCAGGGTGACGAGCGGCGTGCCCCCCTCCCAGCGGCACCGCAGCATCACGTACTCGTCACCCTTGGTGGCCGCCGCCGCGCAGGTGGGGCTGCCGGACGGGACCCCTGCGGGATGGAGCGGTGTCAGAGCGGGACAGTGCCACGCTGTGCCAAAGCACCCCCAAAAATGAGACGCACTCCCTCCCAGGGCGACGGGGGTTTGGCAATCCCGGCTGTGCCACAGCGTCCCCCCTTTTGGTGCTGAAGGTGCCAGGGAAGGCAGCAGCGCCCCGGAGTGCCCATCCCGTGGTTTGGCCACGGCACGGGGTCATTGCAGCTGTGCTGTGACACCGGGGGTCAGAAAGGGCTTGGGGGCACATGGGCCCGTTGTCACTCACACAGGGTGGTCCCACATGCAGCCCCCAGTGGCAGCGCGGGGTGGGAGGCCAGGCAGGAGAAGGAGCTGCCGTTCCTGGTGGCTGCCCCTGGCTGGATCCTGGTGGCCATGGAAAAACTGGTCCCCATCAACCCCTCTTCCTCTTCCTCCTCCTCCTCCTCCTGGGGGCCCAGCCAGCGTAGCCGGGCCAGGGGGAAGCCCCCCAGCCAGCGGCAGCGCAGGGCCACATCCCGCTGATCATCGGAGGCCAGGGCAGAGCAGCTGGGGCTCCCGGCTGGTGGAACTGCAGGAGACCATCGGCACTGGGGGAGAGCGTGGGGTTCCCCCCCAGCCCCACCTCAAATTTCCCCTCCCACCCACATCCTCACCAGGGAGCCGCGCTGGTCCGTCTCACCCCGTGGGGACCTACGGCCCCCCCCGCGGGGTTACTTACAGTAGACGGTGAGGATGATGGTGGCCTGGGTGCGGGTCTGCAGGTGGCTGTTCTCGGCCAGGCAGGTGTATGTGCCCGCCTGGGCGCGGGCGATGGCAGTGATCACATAGGTCTGGCCGACGTGCACCTGGGAGCCGTTGTGCAGCCAGACGTAGCGGCTGGGGGGGTTGGAGGGGGCCAGGCAGCTCAGCACCACGTCCTCCCGCTCGCCCGCCGAGAAGCCCCCCTGTTCGGGGGAGAAGGGCTCCACACGGATGGCTGGCTCATCAGGGCCATCTGTGGGGACACAGGGCCCTTTAGACAGGGATGTCCCCACAGAGGGGACACAGCCCTCCCTGGGGCTTCCTCCCCCTGGTGGGAAGCAGGGCAGCAAAGCCCCCTTAGAAAGGGTCCCCATCATGGGGGCTGTGAGCACACCGTGATGCACAGGGGCCACGGATGCATCGTGGTGGCCATGGTGGCTAGAGAGGAACTCTGCTGGTGGGTGTATGATGCCCATGGACACGTCAAAGCAACAGCAAGCCATACCATGGTGGCCATAGAGACATAGTGGTGGCCACGGAGGCATCATGGTGGCAGGATACAATCTGTCCATGGGTGTTCCACGGTAGCTATGGACATACCATGGTGGCAGGGTGCTCAGTGGCCATGGACAAACCATGGAGCATTATGGTGGCCACAGACACGCTATGGATGTTTCCAGCCCTGAAGATGTCCCCCCAGCTGGTGGCTGAGGGCCCCCCTGAGGTGGGTGGCGCCCAGGGCACTCACAGACGATGTCCAGGTAGACGGGGTCGCTGGTGTGGTTGTTGACCTCGTTGTGCACGGTGCAGATGTACCAGCCCGTGTGGCTGCGGTTGGCGGGTGTCAGCTGCAGTTCTGCCCTGGAGCCCCCCAGCGCCGCAGGGGTCACTGAGGGACCCCCCCGGGGCTCCTGGTGCTGCCAGGAGAAGCTCAGCGGCTCCGTCCCCTCCCGCACAGTGCACGTCAGGGTCACCGCTGCCCCCTCCGCTGCCGCCGCCGCCGTGGGCCGCACGAAGGGCTTGGAGACAGGCACTGGGGGCACCGAGTGTGAGCGGCCCCCACAGACATCAGAGCACCCCGGGGCCCACCCATCTCCCAGACGATTGTTTGGCCAGTGAAGTGCCACAGCAGCCAGTGGGGTGGCTAGTGACGACACCTGCAGGCTAGTGAGGGGCAGCCTGGCTGTGGGCACGTAGGCGGGGTAGCTACTGGGACCAGTTTGGGGCGGTGGGATGCTTGGGTAGCCAGGGCAAGGAAATGAAGCTGGCTTAGTGGGCTGCTGTGTTGGCTAGTAGGGGGCTACACTAGCTGGAGGCAAGGGAGGTTTGCTGGCTGATGAGTGCTATGTTGGCTCGTGTTGAGCTACCCTGGCTGGTGGGTTGCTATATTGGCTAGTAGTGTGTTACGTTGGCTAGTAGGATGCTTTGCTGGCTAGTGGCAGACTATGTTGGCAAGTAGGGTACTCTGCTACCTAGGAGGGCCCTTTGTTGGTGAATGGGTACTACAGTTTCTAGCGAACCACCATGTTGGCCAGTGGGACTCTGCATTGGCTAGTGGGGCACTATGCTGGCTTGTGCTACTCTTTATTGACTTGGGGAGCCCTGTGTTGGCTAGGGGGGTGTTTTGCTGCCCAGTGGATGGCTCTGTTGGCTACTGAGTAAGGGGTTGGGCTTGACCACCATCTAGGGGAGTGTGATGCTGGCTGCTGGTGGCCAGCAGGTCCCCCTAGGTTGGCCACAGCCCGGGACTTACCCAGGACACGCAGGAGGATGGCGGCATAGCCCACGCGGATCCGGCCCCGCTCTGGGAAGAGCCCCTGGCAGAGGAAGCGGCCCTGGGCGGCCACCCGCAGCTCCCGCAGCTCCAGGGTCCCGTTGCGCAGCGTCACCCGGCCCAGCATCCCCGTGCCAGGGGCCACGGCCACCTCCCTGCCCGAGCCCACGGCCACGGCCCGCGGGAGCCCCTCTCCCTGCGGCGTGAAGCTCCAGAAGACCACAGCCGGCGGGGCTGCGGCCACCGGCCCACAGCTCATCTCCACCGCCCGGCCTCGCACGCCCGTCGCCCGCCATTCCTCGTAGGCCGCCTCGCCGGCCGCCAGCGGCTGCCCTGCCCCGGGGCAGCGCGGCCGTCAGGCCTCTGCTCGCCCCCCACCCGGGAAATGAGGGGCCAGGTCTGTGCTCACCCCCCGCCAGCGCCGGCAGCAGGCACAGGATCCACGGCCCCCTCCAAGGCAGCGGCGGTGCCCGACCACGCTCCATGGCGCCATGTCCAGCGCCGGCACGCCGAAGCAGGGCTGCGCTCTCCGGCACGACCTGCTCTCGGGTTACCCCTAGGTAATTAAGCCCAGCCCTGATTAACTGTTAATTATTTATCAACCTGCCAGCACAGGGAGAACCCGACGCCGCTGCCGCCTGGCCCCTGCAATCTCAGGGCTGAGGAGGGATTAGCTTGCTTTGCGAATGGCAGCATCCTTGCATTCCCCTCACGTGGGAATTTAATTCTTGAGTGTTCCCTCTTCCACATACAATTATTTTTTTGGCTAAAGGGGGGAAAATACACTGCCACTCCCCCGTGATCAAAGCTGGGGGGTTTGGAGCTGGGGAAGCCAGGCAAGGATCAAGGTTTGATATTTCATCTCCCACTGTCTGCCACGCCCCAGACCATCAAACATTCATAGGGGCGGCTGTGCCGTAACGCAATGCCAGGGTAGGGGAGAACCAGGGGGGATTTGGGGGTGCATGTGGAGAGGGGGATCAGGGAACACTCAGCAAAGTCTGGAAAACAACCTGCCATCTCTCATCTCCCCCACTGATCCTTTAATCAGAATTCATTGTTACCAAAATCCCACTGTTAAAACCAGATGTGTACTCCCCACAATGAGATTTTGGGGCTTGAAATGCCCCAAAGGGTTAAAGCTGGTGGCAAGGAGCTGCAGAACCAGGGTGAGCCCCACTCCTGCTACCACCAGGTTTCTCTGCTTTCTCTGCCACACACTTTTGGCTGTGCTCTCATCATGGTTTGGTCACTTTTTGTGCCCGTTCAGGTCAGATTTGGATAGAAATCTGGATGAGGAGAGCAGGGTGCAGTAGCCAACCCAACAAATGACATCAATTGTCAACACTGACCTTATCAAACCCCTCCTGCAATGTTGATACATTTCAGAGAATTTTGGTAAAGAAGGAGCCAACCTGGTGTTCGCAAACAATTCCATTTATTAAAGATTAACAAAGGTACAAACACAGCCCAGTCCCTGGAATCCAACTTCTGTCCTCACACTGCCGGGACCCCCAACACTTGGATTTCATGTCCCTGGGGTCCAACCTCTCTCCCCAACCGATGGGACCCCAAACACTTGGATCTCAGATCCCCGGGGGTCCAACCTCTCTCCTGCACTGCCGGCACCCTGAACACTTGGGTTTTGCTCCGGGACCTGGAACAGCAGCAGTGGATTCCTGCTGCCATCTAGCGAGACAAGGTTGGCTCCAGCCTCTCCTCAGGCAACACAACAAAACTCAACAGCTTCAGGAGGATACAAGAGAACCAGGAAGTTTCCCCCTGTAACTTTTCCTCCTGTTTAGAACTAGAACTTGGGTTTGGGAGAACGAATCCTTGCTCCTCACTCAGCTGCAAGCCTCTCCAGCTCGTCCATGTCATATGGATCCAGCTGCTTGATCGTGGTCTCTGTAGGAAGGAAAGAGCAATTGTTGGGATGTGAGCGCAGAGCTGGTTCCCCTGAGCCGGTGTCCGCAGCACCCAAGTGCCCCACGCCAGCTGGGAAGCTCCTGGAGTGCTCACTGCAGCATCTCCCTCTGCAGGGAAATCAACTGGGAGGAAGTGCAGGGGGAACTGGGTCAGCAGGGCAAGCAGCTGGGAGAAGGCAGGAGAGGAACTGGATCAGGGCAGCAGCCAAGGCACAGCAGGAAGCGCAAGCAGCGGCCCCACGGCAGCAGCACGCAGAGCTCAGCCTCCGATGTGCCCCCACTCCCTGGTCCCACCTCCACGGCCACGCAGGACAGGGAAGGTTTGTACCCACATGCCAGTTGTTCCAGCTGCTCATTGCTGCTTCCAGCTGCTCACTGCTTCTACTCCACGGCAACGATCTTTGCCAGAATGTGTGGCTCATGTCTGCCTGGTGTCTGCCTCAGGCTCACTCCAGGTTCCAAGGACAGGTGGACATTTAAAGGAACCAAGAGGGCTGAGTGGCTCTGAGGCTGGAGATGAGAAAGGGACACCATTTTCTGCCCATCAGAAGGTTTCCTCTAAAAATCACAGGGAAATCAGGCACTGGGATTCAAAAGTCATCAGTGCAGTCCTGGCATTTGGCAAATCCCATGAAAATCCTCTTGATGTTAACAAGTGACAATCAATTTCCACTCAGGAAATATTTCCACAGCTGCCATCTCCTCTCCCACAGCCAGGGCTGAGCTGAGCTGGGGCACCAGGTCCCTTGGGACAAGATCTTGCAAGGAAAGGCAGAAAAAATGCCTGAAGGATGGAAAAAAAAGGTGCTGAGGCATCCTGGGTACTGGTAACGTCCCTTGCAAGTTGCAAACAACCTCCAGGGCTGCTTCTTGGGAAATTTGCCTGCTGGGGAGCAAAAATCACCCTAAAAGCTGCATCTCCCAGTGAGATGAGCCCTGGGGAGAGGAGCAGCCCAACAAGGACGATTTGCAAAGAGGAAATGAGCTGGAGGGGATCACAGTCCCAACCTCGCCTGCCAGAGCGGTGGATTGTGTGGATACTCACGGAAATACTCCTCTATCCTGTGCACGAGCTCCACGCTGTCTCTCTCCACCACGCTGAAGGCAATGCCGCGGTGCCCGAAGCGTCCTGCCCTCCCAATGCGGTGCAGGTACGTCTCAAAATCCGGCTCGTTGCGCTCATCCGTGGGGAGGCCAAAGTTCACCACGGTGGTGACCTGCTGTACATCAATGCCTGGAAGAGAGGGAAAGGATCCTCTTGGGATGCCTTTTCCCACAGGACCAGCTGTCCAAGCCCACGTGGAAGAACAGCAGGCCTGGTGCATTTTGGGCTGTCAGAGGGGCGCTGGATACCTCTGGCACAGACGTTGGTGGCGATGAGGACTTTCTCCTTGCCGTCACGGAAGCGCTGGATGACGCTGGCCCGCTGCACCACCGTCAGCTCTGCTGTCAGGATGGCCACTTGGTGCCCGTCCTGGCTCATCTTCCCCGCCAGCCAGACTGCCAGCCTCCGGGTCTGCACACACAGGGAGAGCCTGAGGCCAACAGTTCCCCCTCCAGAGTCCCCTGCTCCTTTTGAGGGAGCTCAAGGCTGTTTTCAACACTCCCCTGTGCTCCTTTGTTTTGGGGCTCCTGGAAGGAGCCCACTTTGCCCACAGTGTAAAATGACCCATTCCTGCTATTTCCAATGGGGGAGGGACAGTGCAGGGCTCTCCCAGGCAGGGCTCTTACCTGGCAGAAGATCATGACCTGACCGATGGTGAAGCTGCCATAGAGGTTGCAGAGGGCCTTGTACTGCTCATCTGAGTTCTGGCACACCATGAAGTACTGCCTGATGTTGCTCAGGGTGAGCTCCTCCTCACGCAGCTTGATCACGATGGGGTTGGGGATGATCCGCTCCGCAAAGGCCCGCACGGGTTCCTTGTAAGTGGCTGAGAACAGCAACACTTGGCAGTTCTTGGGAAGAGCCCTGGGGCAGGGAATAAGCTCTGTCAGCCCTGGAGAGCAGCTGCCGCCCAGGAGAAGGACAGAAACCCTCATTTAAACTGGTTTTGTGTTGCCTTCAGTGGAAAGGGAAGCTAAGAGGGCTGGTAAGATGGAGAGGAAAAGGGTTTCTCACTGAAAGAGGCTTCACACTGAAAGAAAACAGGTTTGGATATTAGGAGGAAGTTCTTCCCTTTGAGGATGGTGAGGCCCTGGCAAAGGTTGCCCAGAGCAGCTGTGGCTGCCCCATCCCTGTAAGGGTTCAAGACCATGCTGGAAGGAGCTCTGAGCAACCTGGTCTAATGGAAGGTGTCCCTGCCTATGGGAAAGGGTGGGAACAAGATGGGCTTTATGGTCCCTTCCAAGTGAGGCCATTTTATGATTCTGTGAGTCAGTCCGAGGCCTGTAACAGCTCAAAGGAAAGGTGAACGAGGTGAAGTGTCCTCCTGTGTGTCCAGTGCACGCAGTTTTACACAAAGACAGACCTGTGGACAAGCCTCTTTGGCACTATGGGGACACTCTCACAGTGCTTTGGTGACAGATTCCTTTAAAGCTAAAGAAAAGAAGGGAAAGCAGGGAATCAGGACACCAGCCCTCAGCAATCCTCACCTGTGGATGCGGATGCTCTGACAGGAGAGGCCCTGCGTGTCGATCATGATGTCGGCCTCGTCCAGCACGAACAAGGAGATCTTTGTCAGGTCCAGGAGGTGTTGTTTGAAGCACCAGTCCAGTGTGGTGCCTGGGGTTCCGATGATTATTTGCTCCTCCAGCATTGTGCCCTTCAGAACTGCAAGGGGGCAAAAGGCATTTGGCTGCCTCCAGGCACAGAGCTCTCTGGGGCTGTGTGTTTTCCCCTGGCTTGCTCAGACTCTGGCTGCTCAGTGATGCCTTCAAGGCGTCATCATGACACTTCCCTACAGCCTTGGGGCGTGGGAACCACCCCCACAGGGAAAAAGGCAGTCTGCAAGCAGCCAGTGACGGTGGAAAAGCCTCCTCAGTAGGAGAGGCAGACTGACACTACTTTATTGCCCTTCATGGATATCTGGGCAGTCCCTGGTAGCTCCAGGCTCTAAGAGGGGATCCCTGTGCTCCTTTCCCATTTCTGAGCAGTGCTGGTGGCTGTGCCGGGCTGGACTCACCTCGGTTTCCCCGGACAGCGTAGTTCACCTTGATGTCAGTGCAGAATTTCCCAATGGTCCGCACCACCTGCCCGATCTGCAGAGCCAGCTCGTAGGTGGGAGCCAGGCAGAGGCACTGGCAGGAAAGCAGAGGAAGGAGCTGTCAGGCCTGGGATGGGGCACACCAGGCAGGGACAGCAAGAGGAGCTCAGGAGCATCCCACAGCACTGAGGCACAGGGGATGGGGCAGCACAGCAGAGCTGCAGGTTCAGGAGCTGGGCTGTGTTCCCAGCCCCAGCCAAGGAGGCAGAAGGAAGCTGCTGCTGCTATTTTTGAGGAGGAAATTCCTCTCTCAGAAGCGTGGTGCAGCTTGTTCCTGTGCCCTAGCTCGGTCACACTGTCCATACACACAAGAGGGGATCTTACATGGCTGGAAACAGCTGGCAAAGCTGATTCTGCAGCCAGAGAGGGGACTGGGAGTATCTGAGCACCAGAAACCAGCAGTGTCTGCAGTTGCTCCTCAAAACCTAAATTCCAGGATAACTGAAGTCTGGACTGATCCACTCTGGCAAGTCAAAGCACGTCCCTGAGGTGGGCACCATGCTTTTGGTCCTACCTGGCACTGTGACGGGCCCTGGTGGCTTATCGTCCCACTCCAGTGGGCAAAGTCACACAGGAACTGGGACAAAGCCCAGAGCTCTGCCCCTGGCCGTGTCCTGGGCACTTGGGCCAACCCCTCCTGCATCAGCTTTCCCTGTCCTGCGTTACCTGCGGGTATTTCTCGCTGGCACTGGCTCTGCTCAACATGGCCAAGACAAAAGCTGCTGTTTTCCCTGTCCCTGACTGGCTCTGGGCAATCAGATTTTGGGGCCTGCAAAGCAAAAGCAGCTTAGTGGAATGCAGGGGTGAGGGCATTCCTGCTTGGCACCACAGTGATGCCGCGAGGAGCCGTGTTCTACTCACGGGTGCGCCAGCATGAGCGGCAGAGCCTGCTCCTGGATTTTGGATGGTCTGTTGAAGCCCATCATATAAACCCCCTTCAAGAGCTCCTTCTTCCTGTGGAAACAAAGCATCCCAAGCGCCCATGTGAAGGAGGCTGGTGTGCTGGAGCATGGTGGGGCCAGGGGCTGTGGCAACTCACAGGGGCAGCTCCTCAAAGGTCTTGATGGAAAAGAGTGGGGAGCTGGGGTCCCGCTGCAGGATCTCCACGTGCTGCTGGGACTCCACCAGGGATGTGTGGATCAACTTGTTCATCAGTGAGATCTCTGCCAGCGGCACTGGGAAAGGCAGCAACTCCGTAAATAAAACAAATGGAATCACAGAATCGTTAGGGCTGGAAGGGATCTCTGGAAATCATCCAGTCCAAACCCTCTGCCAAGGCAGGGTCAGCTGGAGCAGGTGACACAGGAATGTGTTCCTGTAGGTCTGGAATGTCTCTTAAGAGGGAGAATCCAGGACCTCCCTGGGCAGCCTGTCCCAGCGCTCTGCCACTCTCCATGTCAAGAAGTTCTTCCTCATGCTGAGGTGGAACTTCTTGTGTTTTAGTTTACAACAAAAGGCTCGTAATGAGAATAATCTTCTGTCTCCAGAGGATTTCTGATTATTCTGTGGGTTCATTAGAAACACTGCAGACAACATCCATTATTCCAGCCTATCACCGTACTCACAAATGAGCGTCTAAACACAATGCACCGAGCCTTTCCCTCCTCTGAGGTAAAACACCCTTCTTGATTAAATCCTGACTAAATATTGTGGGGCGCCCTTTCCTCGGGACCCCGCGGGGGTCTCTCCGAGCTCCCCTCCGGGACCCACCTTTCTCCTCGTCCTCCGCCTCGGCCGGTGCGGGGAGCAGGCCGAGCCCGCGGGCCATGGCCCGGCCGTGCCGCTCGGGGCAGCGCAGCCCGGCACAGCGAGAGGCCGAGCGGCGCAGCCCATGCCAGGGACAGCCCGGGCCGGGGCCGCTGGCGGGGCCCCCCCGGCCGAGGCCGCCGAGCCCGCGCTCCGACTCCTCCATGGAGCCGGCGCACAGAGCCGGGAGCGCCGGATGGGGCGGGAACATCCGGCACCGGCACCGGCACCGGCAGCGGCGGCGGCGGCGGCGGGAGCGGAGAGCCCGCGGTAGGGTGCGCGTCCTTGCGGTGCTGGGCACCGGCTCCTCACAGGGCGGGGAGGGTCCCCCGCTGCACACGGGGACTCCGGAGGGCGCCGACACGTGTCCCTCTAAGGTGTAGGGGGTTCTGGGGCACAGAGGCCCAGCGTAGCGTTCTGGGAGGCACTGGGGAGTCGGGGACAGTGGAGAAGGGAGAATCCCCTGCTGTAGACAGGGACCCCGCAGGGTTTGGGGGCTGTGTCCCCCTCTCCGTAAGGTGCTGAGTCCTGGGACACCAAGAAGGAAGGAGGTGTCCCCAGGGTGATGGAGATGCAGGGATCCTGTGGGGTTTTGGGGGGTTCCCTGGGATTGCCCCATAGGACAGTGAGGGGCCCCAGTTACACAGAGGGATGCTATATGGTGCCAGCACTGGTCCCCATAAGGTTTTGGGGGTCTCTGGGGAATAAGAGACTGCCCTATAGGATTGTGGGGTGCCTGGGGAGTTGGATGACATGGACCCTGTAGAGCAGGAAGGGTCCCCTGCTGCAGGCAGGACCTCACAGGGTTTGAGAGGGGAGGGAAGGGGCCCTTGGGTGCTGAACAAGGAGAAAAACTGGAGGGTTGGGGTGCTGTCCTCTGTAGGGTTTGGGGAGGGTTTTCAAGGGTTCTGGGGGGCAAAGACTCCTTCACAGATGGATAGGGATCCACAGGGTGCTGGAGAACCAGGGTACACCAACCTGAAAGGTCCCCTGAGATGCCAGAACCCCTGCACTGTGGGGTGACAGCCGGGTCCCCAGGCTTGTGTGTCCCCCATTTGGGATCAGCTCCAAGAGAGGTTCAGGGGAAGTTGGACACAGGACTCCAGGCTGCAGCTTTCACATACTTCCCATCATGCCACTCCCTTTTCCAGCCATCCCACTGAGCTTTTGGGGACCCTTTCCTGCACCAGAACTGTCGCCTTTTCTGTCCGTTCCCATATCTGGGAAAAAATTAATGCTAGTAATAGTAATAACACTACTAGTAGTGCTAATAATACCTTGCTTCCATCCTAAAGCTCCTTTATTTTAAAGATGAGGTAAAATAAGGCAAAGGCAGCAGAGTTAGATGATGCAGAGGTAAGTCTGGAATAATGGATGTTGCCTGAAGTGTTTCTAATGAACCCACAGAACAATAAGGAATCTTTGCAGATGCTTTATTGAGGAAAAAAGATATTGCCAAGACATTGCAAAGAAAACCTCCTCCACACCAAAGCTTAACCTGCTTGAAGCGCACCAGCGGGATTTTCCAGACTATGGGAGGATGTTGGGAAGGAGAAAGCAGCGGGGCTGGGGCTCTAGGAGGAGGTGCTCTGCTGGGGCACGCGGTGGTTGGCCAGGTCCCAGCGCACAGCAAAGCGCAGGGCGTCACGCTTCTTCATCATGGGCACCTCGTAGTTATTGGGGACGAGGCGCCTCTGCGCCCGCGGCGGCAGCCCCAGCTGGAGCATCTGCTTCCGCACGGCCCAGCGCAAGCTCTGACGTGCATCCTCCCCAGGAAAGCGGAATTTTTGCCAGGCTTGTCTATATTTGTTCAATACAGTCACTGGGTCAGTTCTCCTCACTCGTTCAGCCTGTGGAGCAATGTAGGACATGGACGGTCGCTCTGGAATGGAGTACACGGATATAGTGTCGCTCCCAAAATCCCCAAGGAGAGAGCGGGGGCTGTCCTCAACGAACCAGTCATCATCATCATCATCATCAAAGTGCAGGTAGTCCTCCATGGTACCACGCCTGGTCTCTAATTTCTCTCTGGAGTGGATGTCACCCAGATTAGTCCTGGAATGCCCCAGGAATGGTGGCTTGGCGTTCGGTGACTCATCGGAGACCTCCACCCTTCCATCGGGTCTGTGCCTCAGCACCTTCCTCTTCATCTTCATCACCTTGGTTTCCCTGTGACCCGTGGGAAGGGTCGACTGTGCATCAGCAACGATGGATGAGTCGGCATAGGGATCGTGGGAACGTGACAGCCCCTCGCTGCCTCCCTCCCAGGAGCTCAGCTGGCTCAGATCAGCTGCCAGCTGCTCCTCACTCTCTGCTCCTAGCACCTTCTCCATGGTTCCCACCAAACTGGCTGGATTCTGCAGAAAAAGAAACCAGGGTTAATTTATTGCAGTACATTCAGGCTGACTAAAGATGTCAGAGGGGCTCTGACACTCAAGTTTTTGGGTTCAGTGGTGCTGATTTATGTTGGGGGTGTCCTCAGTGTGCTGCTTAACCTCCTGCTGCCAGCAGAAGGCTCTTCCCTACAGTAACACAAATACAACCCCTAAATTCCTGCTAGAAAACTACACTAGAATTAATTATGTGATAAATGAAGTCCTTATGGAAAAACACAGGACAGGTTCCGTGCACTGGGTGAGAGATTAATGGTCTTTCCTTATATCTCTGCTTCTAAACCCGAAATATTTAGTCCTAATTTAATCAAGAGATCCAAGAGGGTGTTTTATTTCCAGAGGATGGAAGGGCTCAGTGCAGTGTTCAGATGCTCATTTATGAATCTGGTGATAGTAAAGCTCCAGTCCTGTGGCAAAAAGGGACCCAGACATGGATTCCACCCTCAGCATGGGTTTAGGATCTTTTTCAGGCGATTTGAAAAGCCACAAGTGTTGCCGGTGCCGCTGGGAACAGTGGGAGCAGATGGTGGGGCGGGATGAGTGGCAGCCATCAGCACGCTGTCTGCAGCGGGGATGCAGGTGTGAATGTGACAAGGGCTCCGTGACGGCTCGTCGGGAACGTGCTGCTGCTGACGGAGCAGATCCCATCAGCTGGGGGAAGAGGAGTGATTGAAGAGTCCAAAAAAAGAGATTTGAGTGAAATGAAGCTGCCCAAGCTAAGCACCAGTGGCTCTGCCCTGCCTGTGCTCCCCTGGGAACACCAAGGGGCTCAGACAATAAAGACTGACTCTGTTGGTAACAGTTATTTTGCAGAACAAGCCTAGAAATCTAATAAAAAACACATAAAAAGGCAAATCCACCATTTTTTTCTTTTCCTGCAGGTCTCAAGGATCCACCAGCAACAAACACTCCAAGGTGGTGGCTATGGCTGAGGAGAGCACGGCTACTGACCATGAGCAGCTCCTGAGGAGGGTGCAGGAACTGGAAGTGGAGGTGAAGCGGCTGCAGGAGAAGCTCCAGGAGGACAAGGAGGGTGCTGGAAGGAGAGAGGCTCCCCCAGCCCCTGGGAAAGCCAGGAAACGCCAACAACGGCCCTTTGATTTCGGTGCCCACAGCCGCAGACACGTGGCACTGCGCATCGCCTACCTGGGCTGGGGCTACCAGGGCTTTGCCAGCCAGGAGAACACCCCCAACACCATCGAGGAGAAGCTCTTTGAAGCCCTGAAGAAGACACGGCTGGTGGACGACAGACAGACATCCAACTACCACCGCTGCGGGCGCACGGACAAGGGTGTCAGTGCCTTCGGGCAGGTCAGCATCTCCATGGAGGTTCCTGTGGGTTTTCCTGGCTGGGATGGAGTTCTGATGGGATTATTGTCCCGCAGTACAGCTTGGATTTGTTCTTTAGAAGCCATCAGCTCTTAACCCTGGAAGTGAACCTGGCCGTGGCTTCCTGCATGTGCAATGATGATTTCAGACCTTGGAAGCCTTTTCAGTGCCATTTCCCTGCTATGTTAGTTGTTTTCCAGGGCCCTGTTTTAGGAGGATAGAATGTGTTTTAGGCTGCAGATTTCCCAATAGATCAGTGATACCCTGCCCTTGGCAGGGCCCTCTCACTGACTTAACTTGCCAATCCTACAAAAACCCAAAATCTCCAGGAACTGGCTCACTTCCTGCAGCATCAGGCAGCTGAATTCTTGCACAGAAGGGTCTGAGTGGAGCTGCAGCCAGCGGAAGGGAGCGTGGGAGTGGGAGCTGGAGGGAGGGAAGCAAGCTGGCCTGCTCTTTGGGCATGGAGCCATCAGGCTGGCTGAGACACTGGGAGAACACAACCTTGGTGGCTTCACCATAGGGCTGGGTCTCCTTTCTTCCCTCCCAGCGCAGAAAGCAGAGCTGGCATAGGTTTAACTTCAAAGGGCTGCTCTACTCTCCTTCATGAGATAAGCCACATGAAATCAGGGCATTTGGTGCCTTCCCTTGCACCACTCCAGCACACAGCACCCAGGGTGGGAATGAACCTGTTCCCACACCAGGCTTCCTGGCCAGCAGGCTGTTATTGCCTTCAAGTCATCACCTCCAGCTTGGAAAAGTACATTATAACCCAGTGACTAAAGATGAAGCCATTCTGATACCGTGATACGTAGGCAGCCTGCAACTTTCCCTGTTTTATTAATGGAATCCATGGCATCTGCTTGGGTCCACAGAGGCACTCACAGCTCTGCCATGGCAGGATTGCCTGACTGAAGCCACCTTCATATGTAGGAGATCCTGGATTTATTTCCCAGAGGTGTGGGAAGACTTGGCTCCACATGCTGCTGCGCCTATCCATCCACGCTCTAATCCTGCCTTTCGTCATTTCTGCAGGTGATCTCCCTGGATCTCCGCTCCAGCCTGCCAGAGGGGCAGCAGCTCAACGGCCACGAGGGTGAGGGGCAGCAGGAGGAGCTCCGCTACACCCACATCCTGAACAGGGTGCTGCCAGCTGACATCCGAGTGCTGGCCTGGGCCCCCGTGGAGCCAGAGTTCAGCGCCCGCTTCAGCTGCCTGAGCCGGACCTACCGGTACTTCTTCCCCTGCGCCCAGCTGGACGTGGCCCTCATGGACACCGCGGCCCAGCGCTACGTGGGCACCCACGACTTCCGCAACCTCTGCAAGATGGACGTGGCCAATGGGGTACTCAACTTCCAGAGGACGATCCTGAGTGCCAGAGTGACATGGGTGGACAGGGGAGGAGAAGCTGGGCCACGGGATCCCTTCCAGCTGTGCCAGTTTG